TTTTTTTTTTTTGGTGTTTGTTTTTGAGACAGGATCTTTCTGTCCTGGTACTCACTATGTAGACCAAGCTGGCCTTGAACTCACAGAAATCCAATTGCCTTTGCCTCCTAAGTGCTGGGATTAAAGGCATATGCCAGTACACCTAGCTAAAAAAATTTTCAAACATGTCTGTCTATTAATTTATTTATTTGGTGTGTGTGTGTGTGTGTGTGTGTGTGTGTGTGTGTGTGTGTGTGTGTAAGTCAGAGAACAACTTGGTGGGAGACAGTTCTCTCCATCTGTAGGTTCCAGGTTTTGAACTCAGGAAGTCGGGCTTGCCCTATAAGAGGGAATTTTGCTACCAGATTCCTTCAAATTTGAGCCACATCTCAGTTCTTCCTTGGATCCCCAGCCCATGGGTTTGGGACTTGTGCGACTCCACAGTGGCTTGAGCTAGCTCCTCAATGTAAATTTCTTTCTATATTGTAATGTGCAGACATGTTCTATAGGTTATTTCTCTGGAGAACCATGGTCGAAGCATGTCATGAAACTGTTTAATTCTGCCTGGCGGTATCGCATGCCTTCAATCCCAGCACTCGGGAGGCAGAGGAAGGCGGATCTTTGTGAGTTCGAGGCCAGCCTGGTCTACAGAGCAAGTTCCAGGAAAGGCTCAAAGCTACACAGAGAAACCCTGTCTCAAAAAAAACCAAAACCAAAAAAAACAAAAAAACCCAAACCGTTTAATTCCTACACAGTACTATAGAAAGAACCAGGCCTCACATGTGCTAGGCAAGTGCTCTACCACTGAGATACCTGTGGCCTCCCCCACCCCCGCCCCCGCCCCCTTTTTATTTTAAGGCCTTTTCTTGCTAATTTACTACTTCCTCTGTAGCCCAGACTTACTTTGTGCAATCCTCCTGCACCAGCTTCCCAAATAAAATGTTCTTATATTCCTCAAAGATGATTTTTACACTGTAGGCTTAGTTCTGTCTTGAATATTAGTTCCCCCCATTTAGACAGGAGGAGCCTGAGACGGAAGACTGTGCTGTGGCCACCCCAGGGTCCCACAGCAGAAGAAACAGACGCAGTCAGCCTAGCTCACAGCCCTGTGAAAACCCTTACCTAGCAGGTAGCCCTGTCTTCCCCGGGTCAGCTTGCACCCGGGCAGGTAAGGACGTGGAAGCTGGTCCCTGCCCCTGAGAAGAGGCAAACTCAGAACCCTCCTCTGCCTGATGGACTCGAGAACCCAGAGCCTGTCTCTGTGGGACATGGCTGTGCATACAGCTGGTGTCTCTTCCGAGTGAGGGTTCTCTGGGATACTTTGGGGCTTTGCTAAAGCTGCTTTTTCTCGTCCAATACAATTTAAGCTGATTTTCGTCGTTCACTTTTGAGACTTCCGGTAAATGCATTTTGTAAATGGCAGGCAGCAAGTCTGTGTCTGTGACCAGTGAGTGCTGTTGACACGGCTCCCACACACAGACCAAGATAATGATCCCCTCTGTGTCCACCAAGTCCGCAGCACGGTGTGGTGTAAATCGTCTTGTGACAGTTTTGATATGTGAGTCCTCACCCACATTTCTGTCCTTAGTGTAGACTCCGAGAATTGCCCAGCCATTGTCTGTGAACGTGTATGTTGTGTGTGGTCTCTCACATCCTGACATGCTTCCCACACAGACTACAACTTTCACTTCATTAGCAGAATACAAGAACAGGAGAAATCTGTCCTCAGTGAGCCACCGTTGCCCTGTTGTGTGATAGGCTGTGTACTTACTAAAACTCAAAACTGTTTTTTCTTTTCCCCTGCTGTCTGTCTTTGTCCCATACTGCAATTATTCTGAACAAATTAAATTGTATTTAAAAGGGTTGGAGTGTAATTCATCGATAGAGCGCTCCCTGGCACTCAGCCGTTGGTTCAATCCCTGGTGTCTCAAAAAAAAAAAAAAAAAGGGAGAAGTATTTTTAGAGACAGTTTTTGAAATTGCTTTAATTGCAAGTCGTTTTACTGGCTCTTTTCGCTCCCTCCCATGGAAGGCGCCACAGTGTACCAGACAGTTCTGATCATGTGTGATAAGCAGCCAGGAAAGCGTGTCCGCCTGAAGAAAACCATTTTGTAGAATAACTGAAGGAAACGGTTCACTTGGGTTTCCTTGTTATCAAGGCCGTGCAATGAAAAAGTTAACAGCGTTGCGAGATGAAAAGGCCCTAAACCAGGCTGGCGGCTCACGCCTGTAATCCCAGTACCCGTTATCGGTCCGTCCACAGTGAGTTTGAGACCAGCCTGGGCTGCATGAGAGAGACCCTGTCTCCAGAAAACAAAACCAACCAACCAACAAATGCATCTGGGAGAGCCAGGTGTGGTGGGGCACATGCCCTGGCACGGCCAAGGCCCTGGGGTCCATCCCTAGCCCCGTAAGAAGAATTGTTTAGGGCGCCGTGGAATCTGTTGGGCACACATCTGCGTGCACTTGGAAATCATGTAAGGCACTTACTAATTTGTACTTTTGTCATCCCCCTCCCCCTCAGCCCTTTTTAAAGACAGCATCTCACTATGTAGCCCAGGCTAGCTTCAAACTTCAGCAACCCTCCTGCTTTTTTTTTGGTTTTTCGAGACAGGGTTTCTCTGTGTAGCTTTGCGCCTTTTCTGGATCTCGCACTGTAGACCAGGCTGGCCTCCAGCTCACAAAGATCCGCCTGCCTCTGCCTCCCGAGTGCTTTAATCCTCCGGGATTAAAGGAGTGCGCCACCATCGCCCGGCGTATTGGAATTGAACCTCTTTGCACTCTGCTCCTCCAACCACTGTTTGTCTTTAGTTTCATTGAGGAACTCAATGTATAATTAGGGTGTCATGGAATCTGTTGGGCACACACATTATACACCACCCAAGTACGCTCTTCCCAGGTTAACTCTGCTCTCCATCATCCCGTTTTCCTTCCCACAGCCAGCTGATTCCAAGAGCAGCCTGCTGGTCATGTAGCCCTGGCTGGTCTGCAGCTCACTGTGTAGACCACCAGGTTGGCCTCAAACTGGTGCTAAAGTTACAGGCATGTGTCACCATGTTTGATTCCCACCAAAATTTTTCTCAATGGGATTTGAAATATAATGGAGGGCACAGAAGTAGAAAACTAATTACAAAGGGTTCCTCTCCAATGGGGAGGGAAAACACCACACTGCAGCTGGCCAATGGCAGCCACTCCTGGGTGGGAGAGAGTGAGGGTGCCAGTCTTCCTCCCAGGGAAGTCAGGGTGCTTATATAGACTGGACTCGGGTGGTGTTCAGAGTGTCTCCTACCTGTCCTCCTGGAGCATGGGCAGCAACCAGGTCTGGACAGTCAACCAGGATGAGCCACTTCCCACAAAGAGGGATGGGGCAACGGGACCTGTCATTGACTTCATTGGCTCAGCCATCCTCGCCAAAGCATTTTGTCAATGTCTGCCGTGGGCCGCGCCTCCCTGGGCACTGAGAAGGACAAAGAGGAGTCGAAAGCCTACAGTGTTGATAGGGTTTTATAGCATGGTGATTTTGTTTTTTTTTTTTTAATTTGCTTGTATCTGTCTTAACTTCATTTCCTCTCTCTCCTTTAGTACCCTCTTCTGTACGGGCTGATTCTCATTCCCTGCTGGAGTTCTCTGGTTTGCCTGAGTAGAGTCTACATGGGAATGCACTCCATCCTGGTAAGAAAACAGGCTGTCCTTAATACTTGTTCTCTTCTGAGCCTGGCAGAAGAAAACTTTGCAAACTGAAGTCCAATGATGATATGACCTGTTGTCATACAAAGGAACACACGGACAGAGCAAGAGTAGCTTGGCACGGCAATGTCTTTCTGGAAAAAGAGTGTGCCAGAACCCAAACCAGCTATTGAGAGTTCACTAGGTTTTTATTCAGACACACCCAGGCGTGGCTGTGTCTCCCCCCACTGGCTGGGGCACCATCTCTGTCCTTCGGGATGGGCTGATCTTAACACTGGTTCAAAGGAAATGGGGGAAGGAGTCAGGCCCTCAGGCCATCAAGTTCCAGGACCGGGGAAGGGCTTTGTGTAAACAAGAGTTTTACTGGCTGTGGGAGATTAAAAGATTTACATGAAATTTTTACAAGACGGGGGATTAATGGAATGTTGGCCCTGGACGAGCGAGCTACTTTTGATAGCTAGGCAGGAGAACACATTTCTCACAAAGCCGGAATGAGAAAATACAGTTTGTAAGTAGTCCTCATTTTGCAAAACCATCATCATAATGACCTGTGGCTTGCTGATATGTCAGACCTTGTATTTCGCTTTTCCCTGCAATGCTGAGCATGCGTCAGAAGCTTCAGGCATGCGGAACCCTCGGTGGGATGCCTCTCCTTCCTGCTTGGCTGTCTCTTGTGCTCCGCCCTCTGGGGATGCTCCTCAGAGCCTTTCATACCTTTCCCTTGTCTTTCTCAAGGGCGGTCAGGTGCCTCTTCTCCCCTTCGTCCTGAACTGGACTCCCTCTGCCTTTCGGCCGCCCCACGGTGGACTGTCAGTTCTTTAGATCATATCAGTGTGTTTTGTCTCTCCACCCTCAGGATCGAATAAGACGTCCTAGGGATTTATTGCATATTAGCTTGTAAATGGAGGATCAAATAAAAAGATGGCAAAGTAAACTAATTTATGAAATCATAAGTTTTCTGATGGGTTATACTGATTTTTTTTTCTTGTTATTTTTAGAAAGTTTCGTTTAGGGCTCTAGTTGGTGTCGTGAACCTGGGAGAGTGGGGCCTAAAATTGAGGCAGATGAGCCTGGCTTGGCTAACGCCTTTAATCCCAGCACTTGAGAGGCAGAGGCGGCGGATCTGAGTTCGAGGTCAGCCTGGTCTACAAACGAGTTCCAGGACAGCCAAGATTGTTACATAGAGAAACCCTGTCCCGAAACCCGCCACCCTCAAAGAAAAAAAGAGGCAGACAAAAGTCTCATGCTGTACCAACTTTATTCAGAGGGAGCATCAGAGGGTTAGGAAAGGTCACCCGAGTAACGTGTTTGTGAGTCCACGCTGTATGTAAGCAACAAAGACAAGCTACTTGTTTCAAAAACCTGTCTCTCCTTAGAGACACATGAATAACAACAGCTGAAGTCAACTCTCTCTATCCACTACACCTGGGAGGAGCACAAACACATTCCAAGAACAATTTGGTGTTTTGAAGGAACTGAGGTCACAAGACTTGTTTTCTCACAAGCATGTAGAATTCTCACATAACTCCATTGTTGCTCTGTGTTCTGACAGTGTTCTACTTGTAGCAAGATCTCCGTGGCTTATTTCATGGCTGTAGAAATATTGGTATTCTCCTCACTCTGCCTATTTTATTATCAGACTACACTTCTTTTTGTCTGGTTGTTTGTTTTGTTTTTTTGTTTTTTGAGATAGGGTTTCTTTGTGTATGTAGCCTTGGCTGTCCTGGAACTAGGTCTGTAGAACTCACAGAGATCCACCTGCCTCTGCCTCCCCAGTGCTGGGATTACCTGATATTTAGAGTGTTTTTAATCTTTTTGTTGTACTGAGAATTGAACTGAGGGTCTTGGACATACCCATCAAGTACTCTACGAACAAAGCATATCTCCAGCCCTGGCCACACAATTTTATCTATCTATCTATCTATCTATCTATCTATCTATCTATCTATCTATCTATCTATCTATCTATCTATCTATTAGTGAAGAAAGTGAATTGCTAATATTTCTTAGGGAAAATTTACTTTTATCTCTAAATTTATTATCATTCCAAGAGGAATAAATATCTGATTATTGAATATATGATCTCAAAAATACTGTTCTTTAAAATTGAAAATGTAGCCATGCATACATCTTTAATCCTAGCATTCAAGAGGTAGAGACTGGAAGACCTCTGTGACCATCCTGGGTCTGCATTGTGAGCTACAGGCCAACCAGGGCTATATGAGGAGACCCTGTCTCAAAACAAAACAAAAATGTTTAGTGATTGATCAAACATTTCTGCTGAGTTCAGTGTACTCTTTATATACCAGATTACATCTATTCTTGAATCATCTGGAGTAAAAACAATATTGCCACTAGTTTTATCTTTTTTAAGATTTACTTTACTTTTTTAATTATGTGTATGTGGAGGGCATGTGTGTGCACATGACTGCAGGAGCCTGCAGAGACCAGAGACATTAGACCCCTGGAGCTGGAGCTGCAGGCAGTTATGAGACCCCCTACATGGGCTAGGACCTGAACCTGGGTCCTCTGCAGACACAGTGCATTCTTATAACTGCTGAGCCATATCCACTTTTCAATTCCTGAATCGGCAGGCCTAACTCTTTATGGATTTGATTTTTTTTTAAACTTTTTTTTTAAAGATTTATTTATTTATTATGTATACAGCATGTATGACTGTAGGCCAGAAGAGTGCACCAGATCTCATCACAGATGGTTGTGAGCCACCATGTGGTTGCTGGGAATTGAACTCAGGACCTCTGGAAGAGTAGTCAGTGCTCTTAACCTCTGAGCCATCTCTCCAGCACCATGGATTTGATTTTTATGTTATTTTGTTTTTACGTATTTCAGCACCAAGGATTGAACCTAGGGACCTCACATGTAGCCAGACTAGCTACATGCAAAAACCTTTTTTTTTTTTTTTTTGAGACAGCGTCACAGACAAGTTGCCCAGGCTGACCTTGAACTCCTTCTGTAGCCGCAGCTGGCCTTGAACAGTCAGCCCTCCTGCCTTAGCTTACTTAGTCCCCCAAGCAGTTGGAATTGTTTTCCTGTACTATCATGCCAGGCACCCCTAATTGTTTAATTACTCAATGACCAGTTTGCCCCCAAAGGACATATAACTTGTCTTATTAAAAATAGCTGCAGGGTGGGGCTCCATTATTCAATTCCCAGCACCCACATATCCACTCACAAGTGTCTAACCCCATTCCACAGGATCTGTTGCCCTCTAATGATCTCCGAGGGCTCCTCCTGCATGTGTGTGGTGCACATGAACTCATGCAAACACACACACATACATATAAAGAAGAGTAGCTACAGGGGCCAGCAAGATGGCTTAGTGGCTGGACACACTTAAAGGCATATACCACCACGCCTGGCAGTTTTCCTTTTCATAGTAGCGTCAGGTATAGCTTTCAAGTATTGCAGATAATAATTCTGTACAGTAACTATGACTGTCACTACCAGTCAATAATATATTGCTTGATGATATTCAGCAGTCGGCATTTTGTTTTCGAGACAAGGTTCCACGTAGCTTACGTTGGTTTGGACCTGTGATGCTCCTGCCTCCAGAGTGCTGGAATTATAGACATGCACTACCATGCCTGGCCCAGTTCTGTAACATTATGAATCTGATAATATTTCTTCAATTTGTACTTCTCATATATGTTAGCATTTAAAATAGTTACTTGTGTTTTGAATTATTTTTTATAACAATTGGTGTCTGTTAACTATTAAACTAGTATGGACTATAGGTAGAGTGTACCCCACGGACTGCTCTCAGATACTCATACAACCCTAGGCTGCTGTCTTCACTAGCATTAAGGGCACTCAAGTAATGTTCGAGAAATAATTTGTAAGAAATACTTCATTCAGTGCCTGACATACTTTGTTATCAATATAATTCAAAGAACAAACACTTTGTTTTTAATATGTTCTTTCCTAGTCCTCAAAAAAGTAAAGATTAGTATATCTGTTTTTATTTTTGTTTTTTTTTTTTCAGTCATTACCAAACATAGCTTTCAAAATTCGATTTCTTAAACACGTTTTTTTTGTTTGTTTGTTTTGTTTTGTTCTGGCTTTTTTTGGTAAAGGTGTATTTGTGTATGGGGCAGTGCTGGGAACTGAACCTGGGTCTTCTGGAAGAGCAGCAAGTGCTCTAGACCACTGAGCCATCTCTCCAGCCCTTTGTGGTTTTTTTTGTTTTTTGTTTTGTTTTTCAAGACAGGGTTTCTCTGTGTAGCTTTGCACCTTTCCTGGAATTTGCTTTGGAGACCAGGCTGGCCTCGAACTCACAGAGATCCGCCTGTCTCTGCCTCTGGAGTGCTGGGATTAAAGGTGAGCGCCACCACCGCCCCAGCCAGCCCTATGTTTTAAACCTGTTTGTTTTTTCGATACAGAGTCTTGCTCTGAGTGGCCTAGAATTCTCTATGTAACCTAAACCAGCCTCCAGTTCACAGTTTAAAGAAAACACACACAAAACCATTGTGACAGGAGACTTTGATTCTAATCTTAACATCACTTACAGCTGCCTAAAACTGTAATCTCTGGGCTGGAGAGGTGGCTCAGAGGTTAAGAGCACTGCTTGCTCTTCCAAAGGTCCTGAGTTCAATTCCCAGCAACCACATGGTGGCTCACAACCATCTGTAATGAGATCTGGTGCCCTCTTCTGGCCTGCAGAGATAAGTGCAGACAGAACACTATACATAATAAATAAATAAATTTTAAAAAAAGATTACATTTATAAAAAAAACTGTAATCTTTGTTTTCTTACTAATATTGTTATTTCCAGTCTTTCCCCTCCAAACATAAACTTCATGATAGCACACAGCATCATTTCTTTGAGTAATAAATATAATCTTCCTTCTGCATGTAAACATCACAGTAGCCAACATATTGTTCATAACCTGACTATAAATATACATACATCGTACATGTAGTTAATGAAAGAGCAGAACTAGAAAAACCGTCTTTTATTAGCAAATCCTTTTTATTGGCCAGGTTGTGCTACCGCACGCCTTTCATCTCAGTACTCCAGAGCCAGAGGCAGGCGGATCTCTGTGAGTTCAAGGCCAGCCTGGTCTACAGAGTGACTTCCAGGGCAGCCAGAGCTACATAGAGAAACCCTGTCTGAAACAACAAAAACAAAACGAACTAAATAAATAAATCTGATTCCATGGATATCAGTGGTTAGAACTAGAGCAAAAAAGGGAAAAAAGAACTTCTGATCTCCTGCCTCTACTTGCTAAGTGCTGGGGTTATGGGTGCACACTACTCTGCCTGATTTTTACAGTGCTGAGGATCAAGCCCCTAGCTCCATGCATGCCAAGCAAACACTCTACCCACTGGGCTACATCCCAGCCCACATTCTAGTACTATGCCGTGGTTGGTTTGTAAGGTTTATTTTAAAGTTAAACACCCCAAATAGCATTATACTAACTGTACTTTTATCTTTTCTAGGATGTCATTGCTGGGTTCCTCTATACCATTTTAATCCTGGTTGTCTTCTACCCGCTTGTGGACCTGATTGACAACTTCAACCAAACTTACAAATATGCCCCGCTCATCATCATCGGGCTTCACTTAGCTCTGGGCATCTTTTCCTTCACTCTTGACACCTGGAGCACATCCCGAGGAGACACGGCTGAGATTCTGGGCAGTGGTGCTGGAATTGCGTGTGGCTCTCATGCTGCGTATAACCTGGGTCTGTTATTAGACCCTTCTCCACACAAATTACCCTTAGCCAGCCCCCCTTTCACCGCCACTCTGCTTGGAAAAGCCATATTACGGGTCGCCATAGGAATGATCTTTGTCATGATGGTAAGGGACATAATGAAGAAGATCACCATTCCTTTAGCCTGTAAACTCTTCAGTATTCCGTGTGACGATGTCCGCCAAGCGAGGCAGCACATGGAAGTGGAGCTACCGTATCGGTATATCACCTATGGAATGGTTGGGTTCTCCATCACGTATTTGGTTCCTTGCGTATTTTCCTTCATTGGTATCTCGTGATGGAGAAGTGTTGTTTATTATAAGAAAGGAGGCTACCAGTTATATCTAAAACTATGCTCCAGGTAAAACTCGGGTCAGAGGCATTTGCAAGAATTTAACTTAAACAAGTAAATTCTGCAGCCGGTGCATTTTACCTTTGCACATCCAGACGTTTTGGGTGGCCTGAGCTCTTTCAGCACTGAGAAGTGATACGGCCATTTAGAATGTTCACAAAATGTTTGGAGAGTTCTGTGCTGTTACAAATTGTAGTTATATATAATATATATTAAGGTATGCAGTGTGCAAATGTGTATCTAGTATGTATTATATATATAATTATTTACCTAAGAACTGTGGGGTGTGTTGAAAAATCAATAACAGTATGCAGTTGTGCCTGCATTTTGGGGATTAATGCAGGCAGGTTGTTATTAACAAATGGGTTTACCGTTGATTTCCTATGGGAGCCATTTCCTAGTTGAATTGATAACTACCAGACAGAATCCACATGCTACCACATCCTGATTTACCGCCTCTTTTACACTGCCATCCCCTTCCATGTTATCCATGATGTTGAACATGGGAGGCATTTTTAATGGACCAAGTTTTGGGGAAAATGTGTTTTTTGGATTTATTTCTTTCTTTCTTTTTTAAAGTTCTGTACACTGTGTTGAATGTACTTTTTTTTTTTCCCTCAACTGTTTTGGTTGTCAGTTTAAGAATTCAGGTACCGGATTTTATTGCTTGCTAACTGTGCCTTTCCTTTGCTGAATTCAGAGACACCATGTATACTGTGATGTAAAAGTAAGACTCTAATTCTATCTTAAGCTACATAATCAGGCAAATATTTTAAAAATATATATCAAACTAACACATAGAAGTAAATGACCCATAACTCTTCAGTGTTTTTAAGAAGAAATGTGGAATAGCTAAATTTTCTCACTAATTTATTGGAAAGTTAAATGGATACGTATTTCCACTTTTGTAGGTATTTTTCTGCGTGTTGCAAGTTATAGGAACAATATATATCTTGATTGTTTATAATACAGGTAAATATTTCCTGTGAGTGGAAATGCAACTGAAATTTATAGATGAGAAAATGTACACCGTTTCTATGTAAAGAAGCCATTTTTTAAATTATTTGGCAAGGATTGGGTTTCCCGCTGTTAACTTTGAATTACCCTCTCTTTAGCAACCCACAGTAGATGATAAAAATCCAAATGTGAAATATCAGTAGTTTAGATTCTATTATTTTCCCAACTTATTATTTTTACAGTGGAAAACTTTAGTGTGATAGTGAACTATTTTTTTTCTGTCTGCCTTTATATTTTGAAGTGTGATTGTAATTAGGTTAACATTACATTTATTTATAGTGAGCTTTTCATAAAGAAGAGAATTAACTTTCCATATAAATGAGCATCAGGTATGGAGTTAATGACTTTAGTGCAATATCTCTGATTATTCAGAAGGAAAATGTTTCTATTTTGGACAACATAAGTATTTGAGCTCATATTTTTATAATCCTGATTGAAAATTTAGGGGCCTGGTAATTTTTACCCAAACGGAATCTGATGAACGTAAGCAAACCAGTTTGGGCCCCTGGGCTCCCGGGAGCAGAAAGTGGGTGCTTAGAAAGCGATCGGTACGCTGGAAGCTGGAAGCCGGCAGCGGCGCAGCTTTCTAGAAGGGTGTACTTAGCGCATTGAATTGTAAGGAGGGTCCCATGCTTTGGGTCTGTTATCCTATTAATTTTTTTTTTGTGTAGCTTAAAGAGAATTTGAAAATAATCTATTTCTTTGTGTTATATTATTTTTTGTTTGATGACAGGTTCTATGCTAAATGTATTTGAAAATAAAAGCCAAATTCAAGATTGAAAGGACCTCCGTTCTGTTTGCCTCTTGTGTACATGTCTGGGTTTTTGTGGGGTGGGGTGGGAGAGGTGATTCTAGACAGGGTTTCTCTGTATAGCCCTGGCTGTTCTGGAACTCACTGTGTAGACCAGGCTGGCCTTGAACTCACAGATGGACCTACCTCCTGAGTGCTGGGATTAAAGTTGTGTGCCACTGTGCCTGGTGACCAGTGTCTGTAATACCTGGTGAGGTTTTAAATATTATTTCTAGGTTTCCATCATCCCAGCAGCTTTTCTTCTAAAGCATTTTCTTTTTCAAAAATTGGTGAATTCTGTTGTTTTTAGAAATGAATGACACTGAAGAATTTTTTTTTTTTTTTTCCGAGACAGGGTTTCTCTGTGTAGCTTTGCTTCTTTCCTGGAACTCACTCTGTAGTCCAGGTTGGCCTCGAACTCACAGAGATCCGCCTGGCTCTGCTTCCCGAGTGCTGGGATTAAAGGCGTGTGCCAGCACCGCCCAGCCTCGCTGAAGAAAATTTTAAGAGTCAAGCTTTTCCTAAAATTTCTGATTCATTATGTTTTTGAGGCAGAGTCTCATGTAGCCCAGGGTAGCCTTGCACTGCTCCTCTGTCTCTACTTCCCACGTACCGGAACCACAGGCTAGGCCACCACACCCGACTGCTCTACATTACTAAGCTTTCTGAAACTCTCCAGATCTTATGAGGAAACACGTCTTCCTTGTGAAAAACACACAGAGGGAAACTTCGAAGAACAATAAAAGATTTCCAAAAATGCTTAAGGAAGGAAACAATAATTTCATAGCCTCGGGTGAGTTAGTTCATGGTCGTCAGCCCGACTGTGCCTCCTCCAGACACAGAATTCTGTATCCAGCAGCAACAAGGTGCGAGCGAGCGAGCGAGCGAGCAGCACCCCTTGTCCTGTGTCTGCGAGCTGACCGTCCGTCCTAGACAGAGCTTCATGGTTCTGTGGCTTACAGCTCCCAACAGCTGAAAGGACCACAGCTGTCTCTTTGCCATCTCAGTCTTGGTGCGTTTTGCATTTGTTTAGAAATCCTGTCCCTGGTTACAAGGGACAGACACGACAGGGAATCTTTTTGTTTCCTAAGGTGCCTCTTCAATTTTCTTTAAGCAAATGATTTTTAAGTTGTTTTATTTATTTAAAATTTTTTTAAGATTTATTTATTTATTTATTATGCATATAATGTTCTGCCTGCGTGTATGCCTGCAGGCCAGAAAAGGGAACCAGATCTCATTTTAGATGGTTGTGAGCCACCATGTGGTTGCTAGGAATTGAACTCAGGACCTTTGGAAGAACAGCCAGTGCTCTTAACCGCTGAGTCATCTCTCCAGCCCTTAAGTTGTTTTATAGCTTTGACATCTTGTCTTATTATTATAATATTTGTTTATTTTGAGACAGGGTCTCTGAGCCCTGGCTATCTTGGAACTCACTAGGTAGACCAGGCTGGCCTGAACTCACAGAGGTCACTCTGCCTCTGCCTCTCTTCTGTCTCTCCCTCCCGAGTGCTGGGATTAAAGGCGTGTGCCGCCACCACTCAGGCATCATTTGTCTTTTATAAAAATGGGTATTGGTGGTTTGTCTGTGTGTGCCTAGTGCCTGAGGAGGTCAGAAGAAAGTGAGTCCGCCCTACTGGAGTTACAGGTGGCTGTGAGCTGCTACGAGGGTGCAGGGGATTGAATTCTGGTCTTCTGAAAAAGCAGCAAGGCCTCTTAAGTACTGAGTCGTCTTTCCAACTAAAATGTATTCTTTACTTTTCCAATTTAGCATAGTCCCTAGATGACTGTGATCCCCCTTGCCTGTAATCCCAGCAACCAGGAAGCGGAGGCAGGGGAATCAGGAACTTGAATTCTTGACCACATGACAGGTGGGAAGGCCGACCTGGGCTACAAAAATACCCCATCTCAAAAAGCAAAAAATAGGGCTGTGTACAAGGTCAGTGGGAGACCATCTGCCTAGCATGCATGAGGCCCTGGGGTTCAACCCCAATATTTCAAAAAATGAACCAAAAATAAACAATTCATTATCTTTCTTCAGATGTCATCTCCATGGGGGAAAAAAGATACTTGTTCATCTTTTTCTGCCATTGCTGGGATACAGCATTCAATAGATATACTGTGGATTGTCTATGGATTGATTATGCAATTCTTAGACAAGCTTCAGTAAGTGCGCACGCGTGCGTGCGTGAGCGTGTGTGTGTGTGTGTGTGTGTGTGTGTGTGTGTGTGGTAGTTAGGAACATTTGTAGCATTCTGATTTGGTAAAAGTTTAAAATTGCTTTTTAGCATTTTATTTTTTCTTTGTTTTGTTTTTTTTTTGAGACAGGGTTTCTCTGGGTAGCCCTGGCTGTCCTGGAACTCACTCTGTAGCCCAGACTGGCCTCGAACTCAGAGATTCTTCTGCCTCTGCCTCCTGAGTTCTGGGATTAAAGGCATGCACCACCAGGCCTGGCTAAAAATAGAGCGTTTACATGTAATATATTTCCCTAAAAATTATTTTCACCTTCTTGAGACGCTGTGCAATTATAGAGTGATGGAGTATTTTAGGGCTACTTGGGATCTTAGAACAGCTTGTAAGACCTCCTTTAGAGTATTAGTAGATAACCATGTGCAATATCCTATTTGTTTATCCCTAGAGATATGATTTCCTTGTTGCCCAGACTGCCTGGGAACTCACTATTTAGCCCAAGCTGATCTTGAACTCCATTCTGCCTCTGTCTTCCAAGTGCTAGGATCACAGACAAGGTATGCACATTGCACTGGCCCTGGCTTAGAATATTAATTTTAAAAAGTACTCCATCGCTAGGCGATGGTGGCTCATGCCTTTAATCCCAGCACTCGGGAGGCAGAGGCAGGCAGATCTCTGTGAGTTCGAGGCCAGCCTGGTCTACAAAGCGAGTTCCAGGAAAGCGCAAAGCTACACAGAGAAACCCTGTCTCGAGGAAAAAAAAAACAAAACTCCATCAAGCCATTTTAACTTTTGGATGAAATTACACTAATTTGAAAGCAATGAAAACTATTGTTTGATAGACATTTAAATATTTATTTTCTGCTTTTTAAAAAAATCTGTAATAAGGGAAAATATACATTTTGAGTATTATTTACCAACTTTTTTTATATTAGTTGTGGACTTGGGTGATATACCATGGCTGCTGTAACTGCAATTACTTTAAAGAGGAGCCCCAAGGTGTAAGAGGAAGCTCTGATAGCCACCACCTTCGAAACTCCTAGAAGGTTAGATAGCAGCTCAGCGACACACCCATGAACCTACCCAGAGAGGGTGAGGAATTCCATCAAGGGGCTAAGGACCTTTGCAGACCAGCTACAAAGGTCCCGGTTCTGCGAAGAAGGCTCCCTCTGGGATTTGCTGGCATGCCCTGGGAAGGAAGTTCAAGTTTATTTCTTATGCTGCTGCACTTACAAGACCTTGGGACTTCCTCCATGCATTGAAATAGAAACCGGCCACACATCTGCCTCATCTGACTCCTGGAGACGTGAAGATTCTGGTTGGGAAGGGTGTTTGCTGCCTGAAGCAAAAATACCATGAGTTTTGCTTGTATGTATGAAATGTCCGCAGCATACAAGTGGTTTTCTTTCTTAAAAAAATTACTTGCACCTTATTTATTGGAGTGGGGAGGTGGGCATGTGGGCTTCAAAGGGCAACTTGAGGAAATCAGTTCTCTCTCTTCGACAAGGAGGTCCTGGAGATAGTTGAACTATGATGTTCTGCCTGTCAGCAAGCACCTCTACCCACTGAAACATCTCACTAGTCCTGTTGTTTTAACATTTCTAAGAAGACTCCTAGCTTCATGAGGTTTTCTGTTACTTAGAAAAGACTTGATGGCCACATTGTCATGTGTTGATCTAAGTAACTGACAAAAAGTAATTGTTGAGGACCTGCAAATACAGACATTGCACACAGTGCCACACAGACATCTGGAACTCCACTTCAGGGGGTCTGATGCCAAATTAATGACTCTCTAGGCACTAGGGACTCATGTGGTGCATGTACATAGAGACATGCAGGCATCATTTACATGTATAAAAAATAAAAACATTTGAAAAGAACTGGGTATGGTGGCACATGTCTTTAATCACAGCATTCTAGAGACAGAAGGAGGCAATATCTGAGTTTGAGGCCAGCCTGATCTACAGAGCAAGTTCCAGGGCAGCCAGGGCTACACAGAGAAACCCTGTCTCAAAAAAAGAAAAGAACATTTAACGATATAATTAAATCATATATAGAAATTGATTGGGGCTGGAGAAGCACATATTGCCCTTCTAGGAC